GATTGAGAAGGCCAGGGCCCACCCGGGGCAGTCGTGCCATTGAGGAAGGAGGAAGGAAGGAAGTAAAATTTGTTAATTTTTTCACGATACCTAAGAAAATGGCATAAAAACCATTTATTCAGTTAAATGAGTTCTGGTTTGTATATCTTACTAAATATGTGGTTATAAGAACTGCAATTTTGAAAACCTAAATTTTCAATTAACCGTTACTGCATGAAAGACAAACTTTTAAATTAATGGTTCAAATACCACTTTTTCAGTATTATAATGCAGCATTATGATTTTTTTTGCTAGAAATTTTATTACTTAAGAATGTGATCATTTTTCCAGAATTTGTTTTTGCTTTGTTACAAATTTATAATTTTGCATTTTGGTAAGAAGCTGGAAAAATAGATTAAATGTTTAATACAAAAGTTAAAGGGAGAACGAAATGATTTCATTTCCAAAGAAATTCATGCGAATATTTTATTACTTAAAGAGGAGCCAGACAGCGAAAAATAATCCTTTGTTATATACTTAGCGATGAAAAAATTAAAGAAAGGAGTTTCATATGAATTAACTGAGAGAATAATTTCTTCTGCGTGCTTTTAAACTATAACTTATATTTACTGATGGTAAAATCACAGAGAATCCTTTATTCTGCAAATTGCGATTTTATGTATTTTACCGATTTTTAGGCACGCACGTGATCAAAATAGCAAAGAAACTAATAAATAAATAATTATCAGATGTACCAAAGAAATTTATGTGCTTATACGGAAATGTTTGTTGATCATAATTATTGCAAAAATATAATATCAATTGATAATGAAGTTATCATAAAATTTCAATGGTTCCATTATCATCTGTATATCATAAAAAGACATTAAAATAAGAAATAAAAAACATCAGAAATATTTGACGTTTGTATACTGCTGTTGTCGGAAATAAAATGTCATTTGTCAATTGCTGCTCAAGAGTCAAACTCTATTAAGTGGGCAATAACCATTTATAGAAACTAAGTATGTCATCAAGTGTCTCAGTCAGCAAAGAGTTTCTGTATACTGTTTTTAGTCTATTGTTACATTCTGGTCCACAGCGCGGAAAATCTAACTAGCTATGACAAGAATAATATGCTGATTTTATTTAAAAAACAACATTTTTCAAAACAAAATTTACTCTGCTGCCCCTTAAGTATGCTTAGGATTAGAAATTTCGAGTCTTAAACTAGATAGATTCATATTGCACAATCTACGACGATTTGAGGGGGTTGAAGATCTTTTTTTTTTATTTATTTATTTTTTTTTTAATTTTTTTTTTTAATTTGAATGCCTTAGTGCGAAAAAGTTGCTTATTGAAATAAGAATAAATAAAAATAAAACATAAGAAAATAAAACATAAGAAACATGAGAAATCGCTTGGTAGTTCGTGTTTGCTGATCGTACTTCTAATTATTGAAATTATTTATTACTTAGTTATGTTTCAACTTTTTTAAGTGACTTAAACTTTTAAAATATGCAGGCTTTAGTTTTTTTTTACTTGTTTGATGCTTTGAATGTCTTAGATAAATTAAATTCCTTTCAATAATTTTTAGAAAAAAAGTAAGCTAAACTAATAGTTTTAATTTTATATATTTATAACCGTCCTTGGACAGCCAAACCAATTTTTCGGGTTTATGACTACTAATGTTCAACTCCGTAGCCTTGTAATTTTGAACCCAATCCAGAAGACAACGAAACTCCGGATCAAGTATTGGGAGAAATTTTATTATTGTGTGTAAAATACTTTGAATACGTGAAGAACTTTTTGATGCAACTAACCCATATATGCGTTGCATGGAGAAGGAAACCCATAAAACCTCCCACGGTTAGCCTGACGGTAACGGAACTTTAGCTTATGTTCACTCTACCACTGAGGATATTGTACGTCAGCACTGTGATCGGCGTGAGCTGGGTGGGGAATTCGCATCGACTACCCATCGCTGGGATTCGAAACCGATTCAACTCATTGGAAGGTTAGCGCTCCATCCCGTAAGCAACTAAGGCTCAAGTTAACCAATTTTCTGTAATTTTCACTCACTATCTCTTCGCTCATTTATCCGAACAATACTAGAACTCACCCCGTGAAGATATATGTTCACCCAGTTTCCTCTATGACTTACTCAATTAATGATTCAGTTTTTTTATGAGAATTTTAAATTACATTCACAGTCAGAGTTATTTTCAATGAAGTAGGATTCTTTGGCTCATCTAAATGGTTAATGTTTCTTTTTTTGTATCTGATACATATTACAAGTGCAGTTGATTTGTTTTGAGAAATGAGGTTTAATTGATCAAAATTCCAGTGTTGCTCGAATATGCCCATCTTTAGTTTCGTGTTCACACAATTTATTCGACAATTCTATCATTAGTAGGATACACTTCTGCAGAGTCGGAGTGTGTCGAGAAAATTTTGGAATTTCTCTGAAACGCATGCTACCCGAATATATGTGTGACGAGATGCTATGCGAATGGATGAGTTATTTAATATCATCTTTACCGAAGCCTCGCAGCATTGGAGGAGGATACATTGGACAAGAATTCCAACTCGTGATTTCAAAGTAGACCGAAGCTTGAAAAGTTTATCGTCGGTTGTATAAAACTTCGTCTTAGCTATGCAAATTCCTGTTAAACAATATCTGCCATAAATTTTAAATAGAATCACTTTCATTCATCACCCCGAAAAAAAACTTGTCAAATCGTGATCCTGTTCCTTCATTACATTCCAGACAGATATCTATTGTAAATTGAGTCTTTGTTGTATGTAGGAAGGATTTTAAAAGCAAAACAAATAACCCTAAACAAAAAAAGAGTATTAGAAATTTCATACAATGTAAACTTTCAATTTTCGGATTACTTTAAATTAATTAAATAATTTCTTAGGAATATATATCCTTTCCCCTAAGAAGCACAATTAGAGCATGATATTGAGTCCTGCATTAATTCTGACCTAACACGCATCAGAGAAATATTAAACTTTCTCAATTACTCCCAGGTTATAGCGAGGTTTGTCAAACTTGAGACAAAAGCTTCGAATAAAATCCGTGAACAAGAAGCTAGAAATAGAAATAATCACGTAACACTGGAGTCCAGATCATTTAAACCTTATTTCTCTAAATATTAAACTTTAGATACGCAATAGGTACAAAAAATAATCTTAATAATGCATAAAACTTAAGAATCTTAATCCATTGAAAACCAGTGAATATGCTGCAAATAGCAAGTAAATACACTGCCAAAAAATTGCATGGATGGCCGGGTAGAAAGTGTGTTAAAATCGATGCGCAACTTTCTTCACGTAGTGAGTTTTGCGAAACGATACGCAATGAAAATTAAAAAATATTTGTAAACATACGTTAAACGTTGCGACGAATTCAACGAAATTCAAAAATTCATTCGTTTTGAACTACTCCATTGGAGATGGCCCTGTGCGAAGGAAAGTAGCTACCCAAATGGAAAGAGGAACACCTTATTGTTTTGAAACCTGATGCGCAACAGTAAAGTTACAACCCGGTTTGACTTTGGTAAAGCAACATTAATAAGACATAGACATTAAGTGTTATAATACTGACTCACCATGTAAGAGCAATCCATCTTGAACATCACTTCTAGATGCGTAACTTAACACTGAGTAAATATCATGTAGAAAACTTCGTTAACAAACAACATGTATTACAATACATACATATTTCGAGCCTCGAAAGAAGGCTTGTACTTTACACCATAATACACAATATATAGAACAACAAATGCAACACATAGTTTCTGAAGAAGAATATGAGTTTAATTTTGCTGCAAGTAAAAAACAGCAAAATTAGTCAACTATAACAATGTAGAACACTGCCACATAGTTTTTTGGTTTCAAATATTTTTTTTTTCAAATCGTGTGGATACTTTAAAATCAATAGCCAATGGTATTTCACCTTTCCTCATTCACATTAAGTTCTTTTTAAGCTTTCCGAAAGTTAGCACATCTCCTCATGTCATCTTGTAACAATAGTTGATAAAGGATGGTGATTGTGAGCGTTCTGAAAATTCATAAAAGCAAACTAATTTATCATTTCATTTTAATAAACCAAAAAAAAGAAAATTTATATGAAAAAACATAAGTATATATTCGTTTGGTTTTAATGATTACGATTATGATTATAAGTTTACTGAATTTTTTTGTTCGTCTTTTCATAAAAACTTTTTTTTTATTTATTCATTTGCTTGATTATTTTTTTTAAGTTTGAATTTTTCTTGAGTTAAAACGAACAATATAAAGTTGTGAGTTTTTGATGAAATTTAGTATGGTGACTGTGACTCACATTAATAAGCAAATCAGACTTCTGAAAACTTGATAGCATGAAATTATGGTTTCTGATCACATAAATAATTAAATTTTGCGCTGGTTTTAAGGAAATAACAATTTCTGTCCATCACGAGGTGAACTCTGGTCAGAGAGTTCAGCAACGCCATCCAGTTTTCATTTCTTGAAGGGCAGATTGTACATTCAGTTGGTTTCAAGTTTCAGTCATGAAACTATCTCTTAAATTTGAAACAACGAAATCGTGGAAACACTTTGTATTAAATATTGTTATTAAAATATTCTAAATAAACAAATTTAATAAAATGTAGTTTAAAATTTTTCGTCCTTTCTTCTTTTGATAGGCCATATTTTTATTAATTTCACAAAATCTATTTATCGGATTTCCATATTGTCGCTACAAGAAAATAAAATTATTTACAATTGCTCTATTTTCTTTCAAACTTTTGATGCCTTACAAAATTCGATTTATTTTAAAATTGTTAAAAACTTTAGAAATTGTTAAATTTTAGGAATATAAATTGGATAAAATAACTGCTCAATAAAAAATGCACTGCATATCTTACGAAAATTCAAATATTTCCGAACGAGTTTCACCAATTGATAACCAATCAATACCTTTAAAGATTATTAATTTTTAAATAAACAGTAAAAAGTTCTACTTAAGTAAATTCAATGGGATAATCAACTCCCAAAAAATCTATTACTGCAAAAATATCAGCTTTTATTAAATTTAAATAAACTTCTCAATTGTAAACAAAGACAAACCTTTTAAGCAAATGCAATAACAAAGCTAAATATCGCATGTTTGAAATACAATTAAGGGATATAATTCATTGAAATAAATTTAAAATTAAACTTTTTGAAATATTACCTGATTCGATGGATAGTGAGGTTTGTGTATAACATTTTCATATGTGTATTCTTTGCAATCTCCCAAACTTTCATATATCCTCTCTGTTCGGGCATTGGGAGTCAAATCAACATATTCTGCAGGAAAACGAAAGAGATATTCAGTAAATATCTCATACCACACAGATACAATAAACAAGTTTCAGCAATTAAGATTTTCTTAAAACTATATTTTAATTATCAATGTGACTTTTGCTATTAGAGGGATTTTTTTGTGAAAAACAATTCATTGAAGGCAACTAAGCAACTAAGAAATTAACTTTTTAAGTTTAAATAGGATATTTTTTAATTGTGCAGTCATAATAATATTTAACCATTTTTGATAACTGATGGAAATCACACGATGATCTTTTTTATTACCTGTTTGATAATTTTTCGTGTAAATATCAGTCTGTTTGCCATCAAATACACTTTCTGACGACGCTGGTAACCTATTTAAATAGAATTCAATTACAAATTTTATATATATTTTTAAAAACTATTTTTCATACATTAGAGATTCCTTCGTTAAATGATTTTTTATCAGAGGAACGATGGGAAAAACAAATTACGAACAATAAATTGTTCATAAAATATATTCATAAGTATTACAATATATCTTGTAAGTATACGGGTTATTCTATATTTTTAGAAAAAAGTATTTATTTATTTCTTAAATTAAAATATCATCTGCACTGACTAAAATTCATACTTGAGGTCATCCTCACAAACCATTAAAATTGAGTCATATTACATGAAAATCCAGTCAAAATTTAATATGGGTATTTTATTTAGTTTTGCGCACTGTACTCAGCGACGTTTTTTAAATTATAATGAAGATACATAAAAATTATTCTTTTAATAATTTATTTGACTTACTTATTTTTGTCAATCATAATCTAGGCATTAAAATAAACATTAATTAATCTATTTCATCTCAGTATTCATAGGTTAAAACACAATACAACTTCGAATTCATTCGAATAATTATCTAGAGCCAGTAGTGATCACCATCTACATAAATGCAGTATTAAACTATTTCTCGCCGGTAAAAAAAATTAAAATATGAATGATTTAAACATTTCAGATTCATTTTAGTTGCAAATATTTAAATGGAAATTGTTGTGGTGTAAGCAACACAATTTATTTAATGCATTCTGTTCAAATATTTAAGAGATGAATCTAAAGGCAAAAACAAAGAATATGGGGATAATATTTCCTGACATACTATAATATTTTATAAAGTTATTTTCAATATTTTCTAAGTCTATATAAATCTTTTTTTTTGTTGAGATCTTGAGTGAAAGTAATGGTCAGTGCTTCGAGTGCAAATGAATATTTATGACAAACAGTACTTATTCATCAAACATTGAAATATAAGTGCTCCTCTCTTCTCGATAAAAGCTAAAAAGCAATTTAGTTTCATATCTTTTTCTTAAAAAAATGTTACGTGTGTTTTTGAAGCACGTTTTTCCTGATTATTGGAATATGGTATTATTTTTGAAGCAATATTGCTAGCCATCTCGGATATAAAACTCTTAAAAAAGCATCATTTTATACATTTAAAAGTGAATTTCTATTTTCACTATTTTATATTTGTCATCATAATTTTCTTGTATTTCTGATTATTGTAGAGAAAAAAAAATTTAATATTAACTTTTTTTCAATTACTTTTTATTTCGTTCTAAAACTTTTTGTTATATGGAACACTGTTAGAAATTTCTCTCAAACAAAGGCTTAAATAACAATTTATTTAAGTGTTATTTTACCATATTCACAGAAAACAGTAAAAGAACCATAAATAAGACGTTATTAAAACTGTAAATTCTGACGAAAACGGTTTATTAATAGGTTTCTCCTAATATAGCTGAACAACATTAATTTTATCGCGCAACTAGGTCCACCTAATGAAGCCACTTAGTTCCTTGCAACTGGTTACGTATTATAGCTGATATGACTAATCTGTCGATCTTATGACTGACAAAACGGGTGTTTAAGTCTCAGCATTGACTCCACAATATTTCTCCCATGCCCTTTAAAACATTAATAGTTTACAGCACCCTGCAGCCCCCAATTTTGTGACCCTGGACTACTGGAATAAGCTTCTCTTCTTCAAGTATAGATGGCAGCACCATAAAGCTGATTAACGAAAAAATTTTAGTAATTCAAATCCCTCAAGATAATTTAAACAACCAGAAAAACTAGTTAAGCAAAGTTTCATTTGATAAAACACAACTCACGCACAACCTACTTTTTTTGTCCATTACCTAATGAAGTTCCTACCTCTAATGTATAGTTCAATTTCTTCTTATGATTTTTATATCGAGCTAGTTGTATATGGTTAAAACAATTGTTTTAATCGTTGTATTCATGGTTTCTTATGATACTTCTTGTAAACGATTTCAAAATCGCAAAGGTAAAAAATTTACTTTATTATAAGCTTCACTGGTTAATTGGATGGACACACAGATGCCGTTCATTTTATCATAATCTTAAAATAACAATTCTAACAGTGAACAACAATTTTATCAAAATATAAGAATTTGAAGAAACTTAATTCAATAATATTTTTATTAATAGTCTTTTACTGCTTCTTTCATTTGCCTCTATTTTACTTAATAACTAACATCAGAAGTTTAACGCAGTTTTTGCATTTATAATGAATTTAATTGGATTTTTCCCGAAATATTTTTACAATCATAATTTTATTAAAACGATAAAACAATTTGGAACATCTATTTCCTTAACATATTAAAATGATTTTACCAAAGCGAAAAAAATGTAAATAAATAAAAAAACAAATAAGTAAAAAGTTACTTCTTGATGCAGAGGTACTTGGTTAAAATGTGTAAGAACACACTTAAAAATCTTGTTATCATGTTAAACCATAATGCCATACAATTTTGAAGGCCATAATATTATAAGTTGTACCCTATTTTCCTATACTTCATAAACTTGACTATAAGGCATGGTTCTACTTGAATGTAAACATGGTTCAATTCATCAGCTGATTCGAAAAGTATTGTGGTTAATATTGAACACCATAGTAAAACTGCAGGAAATTTGGAACATATTATGATTTTTGTGAAAAACTAAATAGACTCCACTTAACGTAATATTAATGCCTTAAAACTTTCAAATTAATTAAAATTTCAGCCTCACTTTTGTGGAACAACTGTTTTGAATAATCAACTATTTTGATTCAAAATACGTTGATTTTAAATACTTTTAATAAAAAAAATTAGTTTGAAAAAGAGCGTTTGGGAAGTTAATATATAACCATATTTATTATAAATCATATTTACTTATCGTTTATAAAAGCTTTTTTGCTTCAAAAATTATAAGCTTTAAACGGGTATAATCCATTTCAACGTATCATATAAAAATACATTATTTAAGAGATATTAAACTTACTTTTCTTCTGTTGTTTTCTCTTCGTTTTTGCCTGAAAAATAATTGTGCATACTTTAATAAAATTAAGAAAAAAAACCATCTATAAATTCATAGATAAATGTTCATGGAAATGTATAGGATTATTTTATCTAATTAAATTAAGATAAATAGAGTCGAAACATATATATATATATATATATATATATATATATATATATAAAA